TGCAATTATTGTATTATATATTATATTTTAACTTGTAGATAGTAATATGCTATTTTGATTAATGATATATAGGTTTTCTCACTTAGATTATTATTTTGTCCATTTTATATATTAAAAAACCCACAAAATCTTAGAGAGGTACAGTGACTTAAGGTAGAATCAAGTGATAATATAGATATACATCCTTCTCACACATATCATACAGACTGGGCATGCCTGGATGGACATTCCTAATACTTCCCCAGACACATAATCCCACCAAAGTGTACACTCTGTCTCTCCTTGAAAATTCTGCAATATGCTTAATCTCCACGACACATAATTTCCTCTTGTTAATTTAACATTTAGTCCATCCTTTCAGAATCCAAACAGAAGATGTAACGCAAATTATTTCAGATATTTTTAAAAAGTAGAATTTTGTCTTAGCATTTTAAAATCAGTGTGATACTTTGCTATGAAGTCAGTGATAAGAAAGTGATCAGAAATAGGAAAGAATCTTTTAAGCTCCTCTTTTATGCTAATAGGCACTGTTTTATGAAGCTCTAAGAGCCCCTTGGGATGCCTACGAGCAGGGGCTGTTTGAAAGAATAACACAATACTTTATAGAAAATCTTCTAAAGATTGACTCAAGGGACACAAATCTAGGGCTGAACTCATAATGCAGACTTTGGCTAAGAAAACTGCATGTGATCAAAACTTGGAGGTCATATTCAAACCCAGCCCCTGTTCATTAGCTCTTGACCTTACTCATTTTCCCCTCGCTATAATTAGCCAGGGGATGCTAACCAGCTAGTTGTTCTAGAGTCCCAAGTTCTAAAAGAGATCAGATCATTAATACTGCACGCTCATTTCCCTCCAATTAGAAATTATACTCCCCTGTCTATATGCTTATTGACCATTTACATCTCCTCTTTTGAAGTATCTGTTCAAGGCTTTTGTTCTTTTTCTGTTGGATTATATACCTTTTCCACATTTATTTAAATAAAGAATGATTTTTTATATATGCAGGATATGCCATTTGCTAGCTAAGCATAGCATATTTATTATTTATTCTCTCACTCTATCACTTGCCTCTTTAGTCCCTTAGTCAATCCTGTTTATCCAATCAATAGAATCAGTCATGATATTTTATGTAGATTTACACTACCTTTACTTTGTAGGCAGAAGATTATCTTTGTAACAAGAATGAACAAGCCATGGGCAAGCAACCACATATAGCCAGCCTGTCTTTTCAGTGTAAATCATATCCAATTTACCTACTGTAATGCACTTATAATCTAATTAGACATGTGGAAATTAGAAAGAGACAAATTCATTATGGATTTTCACTTTTCACCTGAAATCCTTGCAAGTATTCCTACCCTCTGTAAATACACAAACACATACAAGTTCTTATACACTTGGTGATAATGAATTGCTTTAGTACCATGTTTCTTAAACTTTAATGTGCAAAGAAATTATCCGAAGAGTTTATTAAAACGAATATTTTGATTGAGTAGGTTTTGAATGGGATGTAAGTTACTATATTTGTAATAAGTTCCAAGGTGATGCTTATGCTGGTCATCCAAGACCGCCATGCTTGAGGTATGCTGCTTGACTACCATGCTACATTTTCTGTTAGATGGAAG